TGATGATAATGATGATAGTGGTGATGATAATGATGTTAGTGGTGATGATAATGATGATAGTGGTGATGATAATGATGATAGTGGTGATGATAATGATGATAGTGGTGATGATAATGATGATAGTGGTGATGATAATGATGATAGTGGTGATAATAATGATGATAGTGGTGGTGATAATGGTGGTGGTAATGACGATGGTGATGATGATGGTGGGGCTCAGTAGCGTAGCCAGCCCGACGATTTAGTCCCGCTATGCAAATATTTTCGTTTTCATTGACTGTAAAAACAATCAATTTCTAAAGAAATGAATAATGATAATAATTTTGAATATGCATAGCGGGACTAAATTGTCGGGCTGGCTGCGGCACTGGTGGGGATGACCATGATGATAATAGGGGTGGTGGTGATGATGGTAATGATGCTGATGATGATGTTGGTGATGGTAATCGTATCAGGGGTGGTGATGTCTCATCTTTCCTAAACAATCGTATTCTCCTTTCTCAGATACCACGAGGATTTCCCAGAACTTATCCCAGATTTACGAGAATCTCACAAAAATTCGAAGAAGTACTTTTTCCATGGCTATCACACTTCGGTATTCCGTGGCTAGGATGAAAGACAAACATATTCATCGCAACGTCGAAGAGCTGTAGGAGCACTGCAGAACCAAATTGACCGCGCTTAATTTATGAATGATTGTATTTTAGCAAAAACACTGTTGTGAGCTCACTTGTCGATGTAACAACTAAACGAAGTCACAGAAAATTGTATTATTCAAACAAGAACACTAAACTAAATAGCTCTGTCAGTTTTAAACCGCCCTTCCTAGAGGTCAAATAAGGGTCATCCCGAATTATCGCAACAAGAGTAAATCTGAACTAAACTAATTTTAAGTTTTTGGTAGGTTTGCCGATGGCGATAAAACATAACATATTGTTGTTTGTAGAAACACCACGTAAATTTATTACTGCAAAGCTTTCGATCCGTAAGCCCGGATCTTCATCAGTGCTAATATAATTATTAGCATAATAATAATTATTATTATTAGCATTTAGCACTGATGAAGATCCGGGCTTACGGATCGAAAGCTTTGCAGTAATAAATTTACGTGGTGTTTCCACAAACAATAGTATTGTAAATTAATTTTATTATTGTGGCAATTAATACACCAGGCGGAAGTCTTAATTTAGGGCCTGTTTATATTGTCCCGCTACCCGAGATTCAATGAAGTGTGACTCGTATTTTGAGCAATTGAAATACGTGTTTCAGCCCTAAACAAAAGTTAGATAACTTTAATATTGTTTAAACGAAATTAGGAACGCGTTAGAAGTTATGTAGTGGAAGAAGACGAGTAATAGCATTCAATATTAGTTTGTTTTTTTGTCTAAAACATGGAATTTCATGCAATTTGTAACAAGCAATTTTGTTAGATCATGAAGTGCGACTTATTTCAATCACTCAAAATACTTCACACGTCATTGAATCCCGGGTAAGCGGGACCATATAAACAGCCCCTTAAAGATAAAAAGCAGAGCCCAGCAAATAACTTTAAAACCAAACATAATAAAAGTAAAAAAATTAATAGCTAACATTTCGTTGTTTACAATACAACATCTTCGGAGCAATCTATGGGTATGGTATATATATTTAAAAAATAATGGTTTATTGTTTTATATTGGTTTAATATTATTTTCCATTGTTATTATTTTTTATTATTATATAAAGTATAGTGCTTTATAGCGATTTCGAGCACTGATAAAACTGAGATTATTTATGATAATTTCACATGTGAAAATTATCGCTTTTCAATTATCGCTTTTCTGTAAAAATTATCGCTTTTCAAAGACTGTCCTTTATATAATAAACAGCGCTCATTCGTGAGATATCATGTTCAACACGAGAAATAAATCTGGTATTTCCAAGCACCCATGTATTATTCTGTATTTAAACTATTCTTTTGTAAATATAGATAACATATCCTGCAATTTCTGAAGATGTTGTATTGTCAACAACGAAATGTTAGCTATTAATTTTTTTACTTTTATTATGTTTGGTTTTAAAGATATTTGCTGGGCTCTGCTTTTTATCTTTCAATTAATTTTATTATTATCCTAGATATCTAGTCAGTACTAAACTGTCCTCTTTTCCGTTTCCGCAATTCCGCCTTTTATCCCCTATTCCGTTCCGGAACGCCGGAATTCCGTTTCCGTGTTTTATCCCTACCCTTAGGCTATGTGCACACAGGCGTCGTTTTCGAGCGTTTTCAAAAACGTTTTTGTTCCTTTAATCGCTTTGATGCCCTGTTCACGTGGTTCAAAGGAAAATATCTCCAATATATTAAATAAACTACAGCTTCAGTCGTAAATTAATAGTTTTCGCATCCGTTTTAGCGTGAAAACGCAAATGAAAACGCTCGAAAACGTTACCGTGTGCACGTAGTCTTAATCTTTTGTGGGCCTCGGAATTTGTCGACTTGCATCGTATTGATTCGGGTTTCCGACGTACTTGCGGAATGTTCCGATTTTCATGGTTTCCAAGTTTCTTCTCCACGTGTAAAAAATGGCGAAAAAGTTTTGCTGGTTTATTATGGTCAATCATACCTTTATTTGAAGGTAATATGCTTTATTTAATATCAGTATTTGTAGTAGAATACTTAGATTGCTAATGTAGATGGAATTTTTAGGACATCAGACTCGAATTTAGTGCGAAATGGCGGCATAAAATTTGTAGTTTGCACGTGCATCGCTTTGGTCGATATTTGTCGAAATAAAAACCCACGATCTGTTGTTATTAGCATTGACCAAATTATTCAATAAAAAGACTAAGTAAGGTATAAAATTGTTGAAATCGTCGAGAAAAGTCCGTTGTTTTTGAGTTCTTGCCAGGATCTTGAGGCATTTTTGCTGCCGAGCATAGCTCGGCAGCACACTAATCTCTACACGTGGTATGCTTACCACGTGACCGCCGAGTTTATAGCCGCTACAATCTCGATTTATGTCATTTTGTCATCCACGGACGGGCCAAAACTAGCTGTTTTGATATTATTTTTTTGTTCCCGGGGGGGGTTTGTTCACAACATGGCGACTGTTATAAACGGACAGAAATATAAAAATCATAAAATAATGCGAATTTCCATAAAAATTCCGAGTAATATTTGTGAAGATGAATGGGTAAATAAAGCATGGTGTTATTTTGTGTCTCTGGCGCAAGAATGATCGACAATATTTTGAATAATTCAGGTAAGGATGGCTTTATTTCGTTCTCGTATTAGTGATGTAGACTCATGTAGTCGTGCCGTGTGCCCTGTCTACCTGTCTGGTGATATATTTTATCATACATGAAGGCATTTATATTTAAATCAGCTGTTTATACTTGTTTAATCACTTTAGTGTATTAAACTTCGATATATAGGCATTGAAACAATATGATTTCAAGAATATATTGGCAATTATAATACCCACTGAATCACTGTCAGATCTATTCCTGACCAAATCGACAGTAATGATTAATGCCTTTATGCTGATACAAGAAGCAAATGAACTTTTAGTTTATTTGTTTGTTATGTCACTTAATATGTGCAAAGCCAAAGGCGGTGAGTATATAATAGTGTTCGGTACGTTCTATTGCTAAATGTTTATAGTTTAAAAACAAACGCGGGATGTTGTTAAATCAGGCTTAACAAGATTCCTAGAGCTACCCAGTGTGGATTGTTGTCTGCATATATGGACTTATCAGCAATTACATGTAATATAGCATATCAACTGACTTTGTATAAGATATGACTTGTATAAGGCCTCAGTTATATATAAAGCCTATAAACATGATTCTACTGACATACATTGATATATACATATGGCTGTGTTACCACAATAATGCTCACAACTTCAACTTCTTTCTAACAATATAGTTTTGCAGTTCTGACTGTTCTGAGTATGATCTTATTCATTCAGAAATATAAGCATTGCACTGTATTCAATGGCAAGCTATCCTGGATTCCAGAGCCTTCAGTTAACAATAAATTGAAATATCGTGAAGGCTCTGGTTCAATGGGAGGATTCTTTGATTAAACTGTGCCAATCACAAAACAGAATTAGCAGTTTTAGTACAGATTTTGGGCATGTTAACCCATTAAGCGCCAGCGCTCTCCCCTTGACGAGTTAAATCGTCTGGCATTAGACAGAGTAAAATACTCTGGCGTTAGACAGAGTAAAATACTAAAGTAGGGTGCATCAGGGTGCAATGCGACCCAATGGGTTAACTAGACACATGGGCAGATAGATCAGTTAACCCATTAAGCGCCAGCACTCTCCCCTTGACGAGTAAAATCGTCTGGCGTTAAACAGAGTAAAATACTGTTCAAAGTAGGGTGCATCAGGGTGCAATGCGACCCAATGGGTTAACTAGACACATGGGCAGATAGATCAGTTAACCCATTAAGCGCCAGCACTCTCCCCTTGACGAGTAAAATCGTCTGGCGTTAGACAGAGTAAAATAATGTTCAAAGTAGGGTGCATCAGGGTGCAATGCGACTCAATGGGTTAATATAGTACATAACATAGGTCATAGACATACAGTTTCAATACAATACAAAATTATTTTGAACAACGTCAAGGTCAATGAAATCATACAAAATGAATTTATGGAATATCAATTAAATGTATTTAAAACAAACATAATTTCAACATCCCAATAAGCAATAACATCCCAGTAAGTATAAATTCAACTATTTTAAATCAATTGTTTGAATAGCCAAATTAAAAGTTGTACGAGTGACAAAATCATTCAATAATATTCACATTTTATCATTTATATTATGTGTCAACTATCAAAGTCGCACTGTTAAGTATATTAAAATATACTTTTCATAAGATTAGATGTAAGATATAATTGTACAAAGGTAACTGAGGAACGACGATGTCTAAGACAATAAATCATACATACAGTGAAAAACGCTCTTTTTGTAGCACATCCTACATGTACATATCGGCAGCATTTTCCTTGCGATAGTAACTCCTAGTTGTAAATTTTATAACATGCGCTCATCATGTTGTGTAAAGGATCTTTACCCCGCAACACCGGATTTTTTCTTTAGCAGCGCAAATGCGCATGCGCTATCAAGCCGTAGATCATGATGGCGTGACGATGCTAGGAAGGAGGGAGACAGTGTTGTTTTGAAATGTATAAACATTTCAGACGTGAATATTGAAGAAAATCTTCGAGAATCTACGCAATATATAAATTGATGTTATGCATTCAATTAAGTGCCGATATTCTTTAGACGTTATATTCATTTTACAGAGCTAGCAAGGAGCTAGAACAGTGCTTTTTTCAAGTGTAGCTATATATATTAAACATATCAGACGTAAATATTGAGTCGAAAATCTTTGCGCCGCCTAGGCATTCAATTGAGTGCCGATATTATTTTCACGGTATATCCATTATACAGACATGAATATTATTTCAGACATGAATATTGAGAAAATCTTTCAGATTCTACGCAATATATATGTTGATGACGTTATGCATTACCGGCGCACAATTAAGTGCCAGAAGATATATTGTTTAGGCCGTGTATTCATTATACATTGGCCACATTGGCTGTATAAGGTGCTACACCACAGAATAGATGGCTACACTCGGTACAAAGAGCGAAAAATTGCATCAGACAAAGCGTAAACAACTATTAAACAGAAGCGGGTGTTTGTATGGCGTTCACGAAGAAAATAACTTGTGAGTTGTGATCGAGACAAAAAAAATCAGTTGAGTCTGCAGAGCTCTTTATTTAAACAAGAA